TACATAACTTCCCTCATCCCCAGGGGTCGATTCTACTGCAGAGAGACCATTATTTACTTATCGCACACGGGTAGCACAGCAAGATAAAGCATGGGCTTTGCCCTGTTTGTTTTGTTCATAATCAAGGGCAGCAACAAAGCAGGCTGGATTTAAAGGACAATTTAAAGTGTTTAGGCTTTGGAGACAGACAGATTCAATAAAATATGTGTAAAATGCACCCAGAACAATGCCAAGTACACAGCAGACGTTTAATAAAGGGTATTTTTAAAAATCTCTAATACTTTCAACTTTCTAGCAAGGGAAATATAACACAATGGTTAAGACAGTAGAAAAAGAACTTTTTAATTTACAAAATATGCTGCAAAAGGATACTACATACAGATTTTCTACTATCATTTAAAGCCTTTAACTTTCATGCTGCTGCTTCATGGGTCTCACTTTTCAAATCTACCACCCAGAAGGAACAATTACAAACCATTCTGAATGCTTAAACCCAACGCACAGCCTGTCTGTTTTATAAGCAAGACTTTCACTCTCTGAATAATTACCATTAATTCAAAGAATTCAAAAGAAAATGTATTTTCATCAAAAGCTAACCTAACAATTTCGATAAGAGTTAAGTTACAACATAACCCAGAAATACAAAAGGTCAACAGATTTACCCTTCTCAAATATTCCTATAACTCTTCCAATCTGAAACAGTGTAAATTAGAGAAGTAAATTTATGAAGGCATATCGGCTATGAAAATGAGCTTTTCCTTGGCTAAGTAAGGTCTTTGATCGGTAATTTTCATTTTTTTATTCACAGAAAGTGTATCTATGTTTTAAAATTAATTAAAATGCAAATTAATAGAAATTAAATAAAATTTAAGATTCAGTTCCTTAGCTGCATATTTCAAGTGCTCAACAGCCACGTGTCATGGCTAGTGGCTGCTGTACTGGACAGAGAAGAGCTAGATCATTTCCTTCCCTGCACAGAGCTCTACTGGACAGCACTAGCCTAGATAATCTAAGCAGAAAAATAAGCCAAATGCCCCACACAGGTAACATCAGGCTTGAGAAACGGTTACTGCGGCAGATGTTTCCTCTTTTGTGAAAAAGGGGGGAAAAAACCTCTATGCTATGAGTTCTTGCTTGAATAAAGGGAAAAAAATTCAGTAAGACTGAGCGTAATTGTAAATCTCAGGGGGCAGGGGCGGTGGGTGGGGAGAAACTTGTCAGAGGATATGTATGTTTCATAACTTCTCCCAGATGGTGCGTGAGGCACAGACAGAAACTGGCCTCGGCCTTTTCTCCTCTCCCTCTACACGCTCCTGAAACAATCTCACCCACACATCTACAAGCTGGTAACATGAAAAGTCCATCTTCAACACAGATGGAACTCCTGCCTTCAGAGCCATAAATCTAGCTTCCTTTACTCCGTATTTCTACTTGGGCTGTCAAGACAGTGACTCGCTCAACACTTCCAAATTTGAACTCATCGCTTCCTGCTGTGCTGCCCAGATCTGCTTCTCCCATCGTTTGTTATCACAGCAAACGGCATGTCCACCCATCCATCTGCTAATGGCAGAAAGCAATGACAGCTCTCCCCTCTCAACCACCTTCCACACGATGAATCAATACGTCCTTTAAGTCTATCTCCTAAAAAACTTCTGACTCAGTCCACTTCCCTCCAATTCCTGTCCAGCCTATAAAGCACTGTATGATCTGGCCTTTTCCTCTTTTGTACCATCTTCCCATTGCTCACAAAACTCTGGCCATGTGTACTTTCTCTCTGTTACTCAACCTGCCAAGTTTATTCCTACCTTACCACCTTTTCACTTGCTGTTCCCTCTCCTTAGAATCTTCTCACAGGTCTTAGCTTGGCTGGTTTCTTCTTATTTAAGTCTAATTTATATGTCTTATCCTCAAAGTGGCCTGCCTTAACTCTCAATGTCAAGTAGCCTTCTGGTAACGATCTCATTACCCCGTTTGATGTTCACCGTAGTATTTATTATTTCCAGTTAGTTTCTCCTCATCAGACTTAAGTTCATATCACAGTCAATGCTGTATTCCCAGGGCTTAGAACAGTGTCTGGCACATAGTAGGTATTCAGTAAATGATGATTGAATGAATAAACAAAGTTCCAATGCTTCTACCCAAATTTAGGTCACTAAATTGTATTATCCTGTCAGTTTCCTCTGACTTAGTTTTGTCCTCCTTAAACCCATTTGTCACACTGTAGCCTGAGCCATCTTTCTAAAACACCAATATGCTGTCATTACCGTATCATTAAAATTGGGCTCACTACCATGTTCTGAGAAAGTTCTATCAGTGACAGAGGAAGGTCCTTCACGATCTAGTCTCCGTTTACCCTTCCCATTATAGTCCCGCTCCCTGTCTAGTCTCCAGCCACGCGGAACTACTGCCAATACCCTGTACACTGCAGGCTGCCTGGCCTCTTGAACTTCCTGCACATTTCCCTTCTCCTACAACTTCGCTGGTTTTCTTCAGGTCTCCTTTGTCATCACTCTCTCTAGAAACCTTCCCTGATCTTCCAAGATCAGGTTAGGCTGCCCTTCCTGTGTTCCCACAATACTCTCTCTCTTACCTCACCGCAGCGCTGATTTTGGATGTCTCACCTACTTGTCTGTGTCCTTTTCAAGAGTGTGGGATCCCTGAGGTGGGACTTTATTTTATTTGGTGGTATTGCTGCTACTGAACCAGTGCTGCTGGTATACTACAGATACTTAATATATATTTACTGAATTAATTTATTATGTTAGAAAAGATGCTGGAAAATTTAGAAGTCTTTATTATTCCTCCCATACTTCCCGTAGTATTTAATTCAATGTTATCCACACAACAGGTTCCCAATACACACTAGGTAAAACATATAATGACTTCTTTAACCTGGTGAGCTTTACACTTTTTTGAGAAAAACTGATTTTGAGAGAAAAATCAAGGATGCTAAGGTTTTTAAATGATAAGCATATCTGTTTAAGGATACTAACAAAGCCACTTATAACTTTTAAATTAAAAAGCTAGACTTATAGTTCATAATTACGCAATCTCTTTCAGAATAACTACTAACTATACAGTCACTAATATTTAACTTCAGCTATATGCCTGCAGCGATACTTCCTTTATTCAAAATATTTGTCTTAATAAATAAACATTACACTGCTTAATTCTAAGGAACCTGTTTGTAAGTATTCATTTCAAAGAGATACAGATGAGTAAAATTTTTCTTAGTAAGAAAAATCTACCAACTGTCACTGAAATATAAGAATCATTACTCTTTGGTCCCATGATAATTTGTGTAAGTATATATATAGTCATACCTATAAAGTAACACTGAAAAAACACCAAACCAGTCGCCATCAAGTCGATTCTGACTCATGGCGATCCTATGTGTGTTAGGGCAGAACTGCGCTCCATAAGGTTTCCAGTGGCTGATTTTTCAGCAGTAGATGGCCAGGTCTTTCTTCCAGAGCACTTCTGGGTGGACTTGAACCTCCAACCTTTCGGTTACCAGTGAGTGTGTTAACCGTTTGCACTACCCAGGCGCTCCATGAAGTAATACTACGGGTTTTTAAAATAAACATACCAGAAGTTAGTCAAACTAACTAGTTTGTTGTTCAAAGTTGTTACTTTGGAAACTCATTCCAATAATGGGACCAAAGTACAAAATATTCTGGAAAACTCTCTTTGCAAACTGCCTTTAGATACTGCTGCAATACTTCTGAATATTCTTTAGATGATAAATCTTTGGTCTTTGAAGGTGAATTTTACGTTTGCAAGCAATGATGTCATAAGAAGCCTCAGCCAGTAAATAAGGGCAAACATCATGACATTTTGGATCAAAAACAAGGTACAATACTGGCAATGTACAAGTTTCCTTGTTTAAGTGATATACTAATTCTGAAAACAATGTCAAGAGGGATTCCAGAAATGTTAGAGATTGAGAGAGACAGAGACAGAGACTCAGACAGAGGGAGAAAGAAAGGAAACTGGTGGAAGGAGTCACAAGCCCTTTAGAGAATCTGATGAAAATTACGGCTCCTTTTCCCAGGAAAAGGCCTGCACGCATGTGGGCGAGCACACACACAAAACAATTGGCATGTAATATTAGAAAGTCACGGATACCCTGAGATCCATCTGTGGAGCCAGATTAAGACCCCATGGTTTAGAGCTGTGGCTTTTGATTTTTTTTTTTTTTTTTTTACTGCAACCCATAGGAAAAGACAGATTGTATACTGTGACTCAGTCTGTACAAACACGTTGTTGTTGTGTGCTAAGTTGATTCTGACTCATGGTGACCCTACAGGACAGAGTAGAACTGCCTCACAGGGTTTACCAGGAGCCCTGGTGGCACAGTGGTGGTTAACCACTTGACTGCTAACCGAAAGATAGGCGGTTCAAACCCACCAGCAGCTCTGCAAGAGAAAGATGTGGCAGTCTGCTTCCGCAAAGGTTTACAGCCTTGGAAATGCTGTTGGCAGTTCCAGTCTGTCCTACAGGGTCACTGTGAGTTGGAATCGACTCAATGGCAACAGGTTTTGTTTTAATCTTTACAGGAGCAGACCACTAGGCGTTTTCTCCCACAGAGCTGCTGGTGGGTTCCAGTCACCTGCATTTTGGTTAGCAGGCAAGCGCTTAACCATTGCATCACTGGGGATTGTTTCACAAAACATTCTCAACTCTACTGTAAGTGATACACTGTCTTATTGTCTCTTCTATTTCACCTCATTAAGAAACCATGTTAACCTGTGACCTACTATACCAATTTCACAACCAACAGTTTGGAAAATACTGTGGATTAGAGCAACGGCTGCATAATTGGAGCTGCATAATTGAAAAAGAGAAGGCTCACTTGATTATAAAAATTCTGGTACGTTATTTTAAAATAATAACACTGAATTCTTTATGGTAAAATAACACTGTCTTCATTCATCTACGTGGCTAACTACTGGAGGTATTGGTAAGTAAATCATACAATGGTCAGAGAAACCCCATACCTTAATATTAGAAAACCATAAATCGTTTTCATGTAAAGTAGCAAGGTAGACAGAGGTAAGCAGTCCACTGCAAAGGGCAACGGTCCCACCAACTGCGAACGAGAGAATCCTCCACACTCCTCCACTGGTACAACCTTTCAGAAAAGGGAACAGATGAAGAACAAGTCAGTGAAGGATTCACAATTCAATAATTCTATTTCAGACTATCAAGTACACTAAGTTCCAGTTCTTTTATAAGCGAAGCTTTCCCTTTCCCCAACAGAGGCTCCTCTGCTTTGATTCCACAATCTTTTTTCTTACTTTTATTAGTTTTTACCCCACTGTATCTAACTGTTCACATGTCCATTTTGCCAACCAGAAGGTGAGCTTTTTGAGAAGTACTGTATATTATTTATCTTTAATACTTAGGGCCTACATCTAGCATAGTTACCAATTAGAATTTAACTACAAAGTTTGTGAGATGGGGGAATAACTGAATTACACATGTAGGTTATAAACAGTCTTTTAGATCATCTATTATGATTTTTGGTTTATTCATAAAAGCTACCCAAAACCTTGATTACTTAAAAAAAAAAAAACTCATAGCAAAAACAATCCATAACTCAAGTTAAGAGAGATATAAACTAGGAAAAACATAGCCCATAAAAAAAAGTTTAAACATCCCTGACACAGGATGAATATTTTCAGGACAATAAAAAATGATGACTATCCCAGTAGAAAATAATTAAGGACATGAACAGGGAATGCAGAAAACAAAAAATGGCCGATACAGGAGAGACGGAAGAAAAATGTTCAAATTCATTAGTGATAAGGAAGTGCAAAATTCAAAAATGGTTACAGCAGTACATCAACAGGGCGAGAAGTTGAAGCCGGATTCAGAAGAGGACGTGGAACGAGGGATATCATTGCTGATGTCAGATGGATCTTGGCCAGAAGCAGAGAACACCAGAAAGATGTTTACCTGTGTTTTATTGACTATGCAAAGGCATTCGAGCGTGGGGATCATAACAAATTATGGATAACATTGCGAAGAATGGGAATTCCAGAACACTTAATTGTGCTCATGAGGAACCTGTACATAGGCCAATGGGCAGTTGCGGAAACAGAACAAGGATACTGCGTGGCTTAAAATCAGGAAAGGCGTGCATTAGGGTTCTATCCTTTCACTATACTTATTCGGTTTGTATGCTGAGCAAACAATCCAAGAAGCTGGACTACATATAGAAGAACACGGCATTAGGATTGGAGAAAGACTCATTAACAACCTGTGATATGTAGATGACATAACCTTGCTTGCTGAAAATGAAGACAACTTGAAGCACTTACTGATGAGGATCAAAGACTAGTCTTCAGTATGGATTACATGCTTTACGATTCAACACAAAGAAAACAAAAATCCTCACAACTGGACCAATAAGCAACATCATGATAAACAGAGAAAAGGAATTGAAGTTGTCAAGGATTTCATTTTATTTGGATCCACAGATCAAGGTCTATGGAAGCAGCAGTCAAGAAATCAAAGGACATACTGCACTGGGCAAATCTGCAGGAAAAGACTTCTTTAAAAGTGTTAAAAAGCAAAGATGTCGTTTTGAGGACTAGGCTGCACTTGACCCAAGCCACAGTATTTTCAATCACCACATATGCTTGTGAAAGCTGGACAATGAATAAGGAAGACTGAAGAACTGATGCATTTGAATTGTGGTGCTGGCAACGAATACTGAATATACCATGGACTGCCAGAAGAACAAGGAGCCCTGGTGGCGCAGTGGTTAAAGTGTTCAACTGCTAATCGAAAGGTTGGCGGTTCGAAACCACCGGCAGCTATGCGGGAGGAAGCTGTGGCAGTCTGCTTCCGTAGAGATTCACAGCCTTGGAAACCCTACGGGGTCACTATGAATCAGAAGTCACTTGACAGCAGTGGAGTTTTTTGTTTTTTTTTTTTGGCCGGAAGCACAAACAAATCTGTCTTGGAAGAAGCACAGTCAGAACGCTCCTTGGGAGGGAGGATGGTGAGACTTTGTCTTACGTACTTTAGACATGTTATCAGGAGGGACCAGGAAGTCCTTAGAGAAGAACATCATGCTTGGTAAAGCAGCGGGTCAGCGAAAAAGACCCTCAACAAGACAGACTGACACAGTGTTGCAACAATAGGCTTAAACAGCAATGACTGTAAGGATGGCTCAGAACTGGGTATTGTTTCATTCTGTTATATGTAAGGTCATTATGAGTAAGAATCAACTAGACAGCATCTAACAACAGCAACAAGGAAATGCAAATGAAAGCAATGAGGTGTAATTTTTAAAATCTTGGCCAATTTGATAGCTTAAAATGCTAATACTCTGTTTTGGCAATGGTATGAAAAATGAACAGCTTCCAAATGCTGCTGGTAGAATAGTAAACTGGTACCACTCTGGATGGCAAGGTGGTAATAGGGAGTAAAAGCCACCAAAATGAACATACCACATGACCAGTAATTCCAAATCAAGGCATACACCCCAAGGAAATAATTAAAGTTTTAAACAAACATTTGACTACAAGAATATTTATCACAGTGCTGTATGTGTTACTAAAAGGTTAGAAAACTACCTAAATACTGAACAAGGAGTTAGTTAAATCAATTACACTACAGCCACATAATGGAACACTATGCAGTCACTGCCATGACTCATCTGTCAGTTTGTGGTACTGTGATGCCTTACACGTTGCTGTGATGCTAGAAGCTATGCCACCAGTATTTCAGATACCAGCAGGGGAACCCTGTTGGACAGGTTTCAGGGGAGCTTCCAGAAGACAGACTAGGAAGAAAGGACTAGCAATCCATTTCTGAAAATTAGCCACTGAAAACTTATAGATTATAACAAGACATTGTCCACTGGCTTGCTTTGATTATGCCATCAGGAGGAAACAAACGCTAGAGGAGGACACCATGTTTGGTGAAGCAGAGGGCCAGCAAGGGTGAGGGGGACTCTAGTGATATGGCCTGGCAGAGTAGCCACAACAGTGGACTAGAATATGTTGGTGATCATGAGGCTGACACACAAGGGCAATGTTTCATTCTGTTCTATGTAAGGCCACCATGAGTTGGAGTCAACTCAATGCAGCTAATCTCTATGCAGTCACTGACAATATTTAAAAAATACATTTACTGACAGTCACAAAAGAGCAATGTGTAATCCCACTTATATGAAATACCCAGAACTGGCAAATATACAGAGACCAAAGTTTATTAGTGGTTATCAAGAGTGGGAGAAAGGGAAAAAATGGGTGTCACTGCCTGGGGGGGAGGGGGCTGAGTTTCTGTTAAGGATGATAGAAAAATTTGGAAAAGGATAGTGCTGATGGTTGCACAATATGATAAACATAATTAATGTCACTGAATTGTACATGCAAAAAATGTTGAAATGGCAAATATTTTGTTATATATGTTTGTACCACAACAAAGAAAATTAAAAAAATTTTTACTGACTTATGACATGTTCATTTTACCATAAAAGAAAAATAGCAAGTTACAAAACAGCACGTGGGATCTCAATTTGGTTAAAAGTACACATGAATGCTTGTGGGTACACACGTGCCAAGAACAAACAGCATTTAGATGGAGAAATAATCAAAGCATCATTGGTGGTTGCCTCATGATGGGTAGGTTATAGGAGATCTTTTTCCTTTCCTCAGTTTTCAGTTTTTCTGATACGGATTAATACCGCTTTGAACAATCCCCAAAGTTGCGTTTTACTTAAAAGAAAACAAACTTGAAATTGCATTGTATAAGCTCTTCAAAAAGTACTCTATATTGCCCAAAATGCATTACTGCTAATAGCTGAGTTGGATGGCATGATCCACTGCCCCAGTACAGATACTTTTATTTAACTGCTTCCCCAAATTACTTTACTAACTCTGACTGATAAGAATGAACATGGCTACAATTAATGTAAATTCTGTCATATATCCAAAATGGCCAAACCTGAAAACCAAACCCACTGCCAAAGACTCAATTCCAACTCATTGCTCCCCTACAGGACAGCGTGGAACTGCCCCAAAGGGTTTCTAAGGCTGTAATCCTTACGGAAGCGGACTGCCACATTTTTTCCTTGCAGCACGGCTGGTGGGTTCGAATCGCTGACCTTTTGGTTAGCACCCAAGCACTTTAACCACCACACCACCAGGGCTCCCTCCAAAATGGCCAATGGACATAAGATTTTTCAGGCTTACTTTTAAAATCCTGACCAGGCTTACTTAAGAGGGCAACTCAGGAGGCAAGAAGTTGGTAATTAATGCCGTTTGATGTCTTTCTTAGCTACAGTTTTCAGTACTATATAAACAATTTACCAAATTCTGACAACTTATCTCACCAAAATAAAGCAAAGGAGAAAATTTCAGGAATTTGACTAAAACTAGTAATAAAAAAAAAGGACTCATCTTTGAATACTTTAATGAAATGAGAAACTCAACCAAGGTAAAGATGCCTAATATGAACAGTGTATATATGCCAGAAAAATGAGAAATAAGACTAAAATCTGAATCGTGGGGAAAAGCATCAATCTAGAGAGTCAAGAGGTACGACTGGCATAATCATAGTCTCACAACCAGACAACTGAGAAAAAAGGGGTTCTAATAGAAGCTCGTTCATCTTTTATGTCAATCATAATTATAAAACCAAAATAATCAAATTACAATCAATTGTAAACCCAAAACACCTGGGTACTAGCACAAAGTTTCCTCAACTGTTAGGTTTCACCTAACTTTTTATCCTATTGGCGAGCGACACTTTAATGTGCAGAAGTAAAAGCAATCCCAAACGCATTAGTTTGAATCACATACCAGATGGCAATTTATTTTCCACCTTCACATTTTCGTCTTGTGCTGGACGATCCTCAGAAAGTTCTGTGGCTTTTATTCCTTTTCTTTGCCGGATGGACATCATGTCAAAGACTTACATGCATTGTTCTTCCAAGCACTCCTACAGGCAACACAAAAATAAACGGTCCATCTGTATGTCAGTACCCTCACTCCCCAGCACACCTCCACACTCATCTGTGCTGGACTTTATTTGTGCTGTTTTCCTTTGCTTAGCATGCTCTCCCGTTTTCTCATCCAAATCTTAGCAAGCCTTTAGAGCTAAACTCAAGAACACAACACAAATGTTTAGCACATATTTATGAGGCAAAACCAAAAGTTAAAAACCATACCAAACCAGTTGCCATAGAGTTGATTCCAACTATAGTGACCCTACAGGACAGAGTCCAGTGGCCTTTTAGGGTTTCCAAGGGGCAGTTGGTGGACTCGAACTGCCAACCTTCCGGTTTGCAGCCGCAGCTCTAAACTACTGCACCACCAGGCCTCCATCTATGAGGCAAGCACCTGCTATACGGCAGGCACCACCAGGAGTTAGAAGCCTTGGTGGCATGGAGGGTTAAGAGCTCCACTGCTAACCAAAAGGTCAGCAGTTTGAATCCACCAGCTGTTCCCTGGAAAACCTATGGGGCAGTTCTACTCAGTCCTATAGGATTGCTGAGTCAGAATCAACTCAGTGGCAAGGGGTTTGGTTTTGAGTACCAGGAGTTAGGGATACTGGCAGCAAACAGGGACAAGCCCCCACCCTTCTTCCAGTAAGCCTTCTTTCTCTGGATGCTCTATTTCCTGCGTATTTTCTTCCTCTCGGAACCACAGCAGTTTCTATGCAATTTGTCACATATATTTACGTAGTTTTATCGAACTGCCACAGTTCTATAGGCGATACAGTAGTAGTTTTCTGTATTCTGCATCTCCCACGGAACGGACCGTGTGGGAGGTATTCAACAGCAAATTTGTTGGTAGTTTGATTTTGAAGAACTTGAATATTACTTTGTCTCAGGTATGTGAATTTTAATAACGGTGTTCTTTTAAAACAATCCACACTAAGAGGCTGAGGATTATGCCTCAGTGGTGATGACAGCGGGGGTGTGCCATTTAGGCAGCTGCTATCCAGGGAGCAACAGTGGGAGTAACCACACGGAGCTGGAGCCTGGTTTGGAAGCAGCAAGTGGGAGGCGGGGGAGTGGTGGCATCGAGTTGGCTGGTTACAATCCCCCAGAACATCTTGCTTCACTCCACTGAATAATGAGCAGCGTTTTACCAATTATTTATTAAATACAGACCACTAGTCTGACACGATTGTTTGGACACTTTATTAACTACTAAACTCTTGGGGTCTATAGAAAAAAAACAAACCAACCAACACTACACAATTCGTTTGTTCGTGTTCATTCACACAAAAAACGTGGGAAGGAGAACAGACTTCAGAACAAGGTGCTATGCCTTCAAACACTGAAAATGGAGAATCTGGGGCAGTGAAGGAAAAAAGCAGCGTTAGCAAAGTGGTACTGCCAGAGATGGGTGGGTTTACCCCCCAAATCACCTATTTCTAGATATACGCATGCCCTTTAGGGTCGCTACGAGTCAGAATCGACTCGATGGCAACGGGTTTGGTTTTTTTGGTTTTCTGAGGAGGAGTTTTAAAAACCCACACTTCATACACGCTTATTGCATAAGACAGAAAGTTAAATACTTAAAAGTGCCTATCATGTGTGACGCAATGATAATCCCATATACTACGGAACAAAAATTCCTTCTTCAAATGAAAAGGAATGCCACCTTAACTATTTGAAAAAAGCAATCCTTACATTAATAACAACGACTAGACTACTATGTACTGAGCACCTCCTCGGCGCCGCCAAAAAACAAAACCCGTTGCTGTCGAGTCGATTTCGACTCATAGCGACCTTACAGGACAGAGAGCTGCCCCACAGAATTTCCAAGGAGCGGCTAATGGATTCGAACTGCCTACCTGTTTGCTAGCAGTCGAGCTCTTAACCACTGTGCCACCAGGGCTCCCCTGGCGCCGCAGGACGTTTTATTTAGCCTACCTCCCACCACACCTACGGCACCTCATCGGCTAGCAGGGGCTGGCGGGCGCCGGGAAGTTCAGTCCCTGGCTCCAGGTCACCCAGAGTCAAGTAACCCCGCGGAGGTCCGAGACCAGGCCCTCCCCCGCCCGCGCGACCAACTACAGCGAAGTCGCCAGACAACACGGCACCGCAATTCTGCAAACTTCCTCACTCACGAGTTCCAGCCCCTGACCCGCGCTTCGCCGCTGACGTTCGTGCGCCCCGTCCCACACCCGGCGCCCCGAGTCCCGGGGCCGCGCTGCCCCGACCGCACTAACGGCGGGCGGCCCGGGCTTTCGGTCGTTGTGGCGGATTCCGCGAAACGCCACTAGGCAGGACGCGGAAGGGGCCCGCCCGCCTGGCCGGACGCTGGGGACCCCGCCGCGGAACCCTCCCGCTCGCACGTCCACTCACGCCGCCCGCAGCCGGACGCCCGCCACAGACCTGCGGCCGCTCAGCCGTCCTCACGCGCGGCTCCCGGGCGGAGAAGGAGGCCGGCCGGGGGAGGAGGCGTTGAGGGCCGCGGGGAGCGGGACCGTACTCGTCTCCCTTCCCGCGCCACAACGCAGCCGCTAACGTGCAGCGGCGAAAGGAAGAACGAGGCACCGGAGCTTTGTGCAACACCTTGGAAATGGGGGTTGGGGGGCGTCAGCAGCCCCGGGAGAGGGGCGCGCCAGAGAGGCAGGGCCGCTGCGGCCGCGTCCATAGGTCCCAGGAGCCGTCCGTCAAAGCTAGGCCCCACCCCCTCCCGGGGCGCCCCGCCCCGTCTCGTGCAGCGCGGGCCGGAAGGAAACGGCGTATTTCCGGTTGTCGAGCCCTGCTGCGGCCCGCCTCGCATCCCGGCCTTTCGGGGGCCCGCGACCAGCGTCCTTTGGCTTTTGCGATAGTCCCCGAGGCTCGGAGGCTTTCTTCGCCCAGGCCAGAGCGAGAGGTGGGGTTCGGGGGAAGAGGTGCCCAGCTGCTCCGATGAAGGGTTGCCTTAGGTCGGACGGCAGGGAGGCTCGGTGTCAGTGAGGCCCCGAGGGCTTGAGAGTGTGGGGGCCTAGGAGCCACTGGATGTCTGGAGCCGCGGGGTGGTCTGTTCTTTAAAAAAAAAAAAAAAGTTAACAAACATACTCATTTAAAAAAAGGAAAAACATAAAGTCTCAGCAAAAACAAAAAAAAAAAAAAAAAAGAAGAAACGAATCTCTTTCTGCCCGTCCCCTCCTATACCCCTGTGCTGGTAGTTGAGAAGGGTTCGGTAAGTGCACCCTGGACGGAAGCCATCTGGGCCATTCTGATATTGCCCAGCATCCGGCGCTGCCGGGCCCGGCGCCCTGCTTCCCTGGCACCTGGCAACCCAGCCCCTGCCTCCTGCCATTGCTGCTGATCTGGGCTTGGAAGTCATTTACTGACAGCCAGTGAGACGGCCCTGCTTTGTATGTACCCACAGAGATACTTTGGCATCTCTTAAAGACTCTTCAGTGTTGGGGGGGGGGGCGCGCTGTGTTCTTAAACCAAAAAGAAGCCCAAAACAACCAAAGCTGTTGCCATCGGGTCGATTCAGACTCAGCGACCCTATAGGACAGAGTAGAATTGCCCCATAGGGTTTCCACGGAGCGGCTGGTGGATTGGAACTGCCGACCTTTGGGTTAGCAGCCATCTCTTAATCACTGTGTCCCAGGGCTCCGTTCTCTTCTTAGGGTTTCCCTAAAGCACGGTCATGTGTGCAATTCTGTCTCCAAACTAGATTGGAAGTCTTTTTTGAAGGCAGAGATTGTGCTTTATACCTGTATGTTAATTCGTCACACTGAAAAACAGTAAATAAAACCTTTTACTTCTTAGCAGACAGTCAAACTACTTGTTAACTGATTCTTGATAATGAACTGCCCTCCTAGTCCTTCGCCTGTGAAAATACCACCTAGTTCCAACTTGAAATTACTTCAGCCACAAAGCCTTTTCCAGTCACCTCAGCTGGATTTTTTCTCCTTTGTGTGTGTTGCTTTTAATGACAAGCAGACATTCTCTGAAAATGGATTGAGGTATCTGTTGGTGGCTTTAGTAAGAGCAAATGTCACCCGTTTTTTCGTGTGGTATTTATCATTTTTCAGCGTGGTTGCTGATGTCTTGTCGTTTTCATATTACAGCCTTGAGGGCAGGGATAGTCATCTTTTTTAATGTTAAGATGCCTTACATAAAATATATTTGAGTGCTTAATAAATATGTTTTTCTTTAATGAATTGTCTCTCCGGGGAAAAATGACAATTGTGAAAAATGCATCCCTTGAGTACCCAAAATCCATTGCTGTTGAGCCAATTTTGACTCATTGTGACTCTACAGAATAGTGGAACTGCCCCCCATAGGGTTTCCAAGGAGCATTCAAACTGCTCACCTTTTGGTTAGCAGCCTTAATGCTTAACCACGGTGCTGCCAGGGTTGCCCCTTGAGTAAAGGACACAATATTCATCAGCATCTGCTTATTTTGCTTTAGTAATATGAAACTCCTTTACTAATCGAGATAATGCTTTAAGACTTAAAAGAAATAGACACCCACTGCTGAGGGTAAGTCTTGGGAATGAATAAGCCAATTAGAAGGCATCTTTAGTTCTGATACGCGAACGGGGGTGGGATTGATGGATAATGAAGAGTAGGTCCCTGCATCTACTTTTGGCCATATGAGCAAGGAGTCAGGGAGGGGCTGAAAAAGAATGAGTTCTGGTCATGGACTGACTGCAGCGGTATAAAGGAATACTTGTTTGCATGATGTTTTGAGGCCCAAGTGGACTAGCTGACTGTTGGGGCCAGCAGTAGTTAAGCTGTGGGCCTCTACAAGAGTACAGCTCAAGGTGTGGTCTGGGGACCTGGATCATTACTATTACGGTCACCTGGGAACTTGTTAGAAGTGCACATTATTAGGTCCTAACCCAGATCACCATTCTGTGACAACTAACAACCACCACCACCCTAGACCTACTGAATCAGAATCTGTAGGGATGGGGGCCCAGGAGTCTGTTTGAAGAAGTTCTCCAAGGGATTTTGATGCTCGCTAGGAGTGAGAACCAGAGCAGAACCTTGTACTCAAAGTGTCTGTGGACTAGTAGCATTGGCATTACCTAGGACCTTAGAAATGCAGAATCTCAGGACTTACCCAAGACCTCCTGAGCCAGAGTCTGCATTTTAATAAGATTGGCAAGTGACGTGTATGTACATCACACGTTGAGAAGCACTGCACCAGAAGTCAGTAACACTGTTCACATCCTTCCCATAAAAGTGTCTTGCCTTGGCTCTTTCCTATCTCATGCATAGTATTTGTTCAGTTTTAAATTGCTTAGAAGCCCCAGTGGTCTAATGGATAAGGCACTGGCTTTCTTAAATTGCTTGGTTGAATTCTTTGATGGTTATGAGGGTGGGGAGGGAAGGAGAGGGGAATTCACTAACTAGATAGTAGACAAGGATTATCT